TTCCTAAGCTGCAGTTAATGCTGCCACCATTTTACGCCCTGCTGAAATGATCGGTCGTAATCGTTTCGTTTGGCGACAGAGCGCTGGATTTTTTTTTTAAGCACAGATGGCGTTCATGATAACACTAACGAAAGACCACAGCAAGAAAAAGAAAAAAAAATGGAAGTTTTTTTTTAAATATCTGTCTATATTTCTGAGATGAGGTAGTATGTACATTATTTACATTATTCAGACTATTGTCCTCATCTTTGTTGCCATATTTATTACAACGTTTTGGCCCTTCAGTATCTGTCTATATTTCTGAGATGAGGTATTATGTACATTATTTACATTATTCGGACTATTGTCCTCATCTTTGTCGCCATATTTATTACAACTTTTCGGCCGTTGTACGCTCCGGTCTTCTTCAGGTGATTGGAATGTCGAACTGAACGCTTTATTTCGCTCACTGGTGTAGACTGTTCTAGTTCCACGTGCCATGTCTAATAGATGTCAGTTATCAGTTATCTCTTCTTAGTTTCCCTCTGAAAGTTCTCCATTGCCTTTATATGCAGATGTCCTCAAGGACACATGGTACAGTGGATAAAGGCGTTAGTTAGATTCAGTGACAGGACCCAAAGAGTGTGAGTTCAATACCCGGTTTTTTAAGTTTAAAATGAAAAATTTCACTGAAAGAAGAAAATAACGATATCTAAGAATATGTAGCAGTATGTGTAAGTTCGAACTTCAATAGGCTACATTTTTAAACTTTTGCTGAAAATGTTTTATTTCCTTCACTTATTTTTATTTCCATCAATCAATTCCACAAATACAAATCTCTTCCTCCAATCTTTTATTCACATTTTCTATTTGTTTGTTTCTGTCACTCAATTCTACTGTCTTCTTCTTTATGAACCGTCTCCGCTCAGGATCTAGGCAATCATGGCTCTCCACAATTTCTTGTCTTTTTTAGTGCTTAATAAATTTTGCCTTTCTGCTATTTCTCCGAAATCTTCTTTCTCCATCTATTTACTCAGGCTCACTAAACATGCTATCAGTTGTTTTCCACAGAGCCTCTTTCCTTCAATCGGTTCTGTGAGTATTAGATTTTCCAAGCCCTCTTTCCTCATTATGAGCTCTATAAATTTTAACTGTATCTTCCTGATGTTAAGTATAAGTGTCCTTTCTGTTGCCATTTTCTTTAAAAATTCTTCGTTGTTCACATATGGTATTCTCAGCATCCTTCTGTAGAACCACATTTCTGTTGTTTCATCTTTGAGGAGATTGTTCAGGATTAATTGCTTTATAGGAGAACAGATATCACGTAATAGTTCAGCACTCTTTTCTTTGTTTCTAGCGAAGTTTTTTCTTCTGTTTTCTAATACTCTGCTTAGCTTTTGGAAGGCATCTTTAGCTATTCCAATTTCTACTTCGGATTTCGGTGTCACACTTTCTGTCCTCTGTTATAAAATTTCCCATATATTTAAATATTTGTACTTGCTTGATTTTGGTATCTCCGATTTGTAATTTGCATTTTGTGTTCAGCCTTTTACTAAAAACCATGCTTTCTGTCTTCTTACAGATCATGTTTAGTCTTTTCTTCTTGTTTTCCGTCACTGCCTTCTGTAGATTTTGTATTTTTCTTTCCGTGTTTGCTTTCAACACTGTGTCATTTGTATATCTTATGTTGTTAAGATTGTAGCCGGCAATAATGAATCCTGGTAGGACTTTTAATTCTTTCAGAATTGTCTGGCTGTATAGGTTGAAGCAATAGTGAAACCCGGGTTTGGACATCTCGGAAGCTTTCGACAGTGTTTGGCATGCAGATCATCTCGACAAGCTGAAACTTTTTTTCTGTACCTGCAATCAACACTGCGTCATCTGCATATCTCATGTTGTTAAGATTGTGGCCACCATTAATAAATCTTGGTAGGACTTCTACTTCTCTCAGAATCGCCTCACTGTATAGGTTAAGTCCGGTGGGGAGACATATCCTTCTCTTACACCCCTTTCTATTTTTGCATATTTCTTTATTTTTATGTGCCAGCAATAATGAATCTTGGTATGATTTCTAATTCTTTCAGAATTGCCTCGCTGTATAGGTTGAACCAATAGTGAAACCCGGGTTGTAGTTTTCGACAGTGTTTGGCATGAAAATCATCTCGACAAGCTGAAAAGTTAGCGTGTCTTTGGTTACATTTTTAAACAGATCCAATCTTTCCTATGGAATCGTGAAATGAAAGTAATCCTGGACGACTGCTCTTCTATTTGTTTTCCTACTAATGCAATTTCCCCCCAGAGCTACATCCTTGGTCAGACGTTGTTCTCGATTTTCATTATTGATATGCTTGATGGCAGCATCTCTCAGTTACGCTGATGATACAACCATTTATTCCTGTCTCGATAGTATGTCTGGTCAGTTTGAGAAAGTCAAAATGGCAGCTGATATCCAAAACGACCTTCAGTTTTGTTAACTGTGGCAAAGGATAGCTTGTCAATTTTAACTCTTCTAAAACTAAACAGCCCTCTATTAATAATCTGAGAGACCCCTCTCTGCCTTCCATCAGCATGGCTGAGGCTAACCTCCAAGAGAGTGACACACTTCGCCTTCTTGGGATAACGTTCTCGGCTGACATTAATTGCTAGGTTAGCTGCTAGGAAGGTTGGTTCACTGTGTCGTGCTAAGCGGTTACTCTCTCCAAAGCCTATCTTACATATCTATAAGTCTACCATTCATCCATGCTTAGAATATTGCTGCTACATATGGCCCAGTACTCCTGCTATCTATCGTGAGCTCCTTGATAAAATCCAAAGACGAATCACTAATATCATTGGACCCCAATTTAGCGTCTCGGCTTCAGTCTTTTTCCCACCGGAGTAAAGTTGCATCCCTTTGTCTTTTCTATAAAATATTTTCATGGTAATTGTTCAGATGAGCTCTTCGCTATGGTACCTAGACTCTTCAAATTTAAACGCAGTATTAAACTGGCGACGAGGTTTCGCCAATTTACAGTCGAGCTGGCTAGATGTAACCGTAAATTCTATACTAACAGTTACTTTTCTCACACTTCTCGCTTGTAGAACTCCCTTCCAACTCCATGCTTTCCCAACAACTCTAATCTGCAAAAATTTAAATGCAATGTCAATCACTATCTACTCTGCCTCTGTATTCGCTCATTAGCAATGTTCCTGTTTCTAACTCTTCCACACTTAGTAACCCCTTGTGTCTTGGTGGCTTTATTGCCTTGCTTGGGGAGAACTTGATTTAAAAACAAAACGAAAAATAACTCATTTTCTATCTGTTTGCAGCTGGCTTGCTGCTAGTATACGTTCTTAATTATTCTAATATCGTTCCTAAATATATCAAGGTTGCTAAACAATAAATCCCGTATTGATCAAAACGTTTTAAACCATTTCTAATTCATTTGTTTTTCTCTCGACCCATATTGTCCTGTAGTTTGATCTTTTTTCCGATCCAAATTCGTTTAAAAGGTTTTGGTTCACATTTGCAATGTATTTGCGTTTCCATTCATGTGTGCTTGTTAAAAGACTCGATGGATGTATAATATATTCTGCTAAAATGTCTGCTTTTTATACACGTAGGGAATTTAGACAATTTCTTTTAAACTACATATTCATAGAACAAATTTGCTTAATACACATAGACCCCGAGTCACGACGGGGTTCAGTTCTGACTAATTCTTCGTAAATCGGTCCTGACGTAAGATAAATTCTTCCTGTAGTTTGTTGTAGTTGTAATGTCATTTGAAATTAGTTTTACAAATCTGTTTTTCTTTATTTTTGAGAGACAGGAATTATAAATAGCAATGAAAAGGTTAATACCAAATAGTCCGCAACAGTTTATTGCAGTCACAATAAAGAGATCATGTGAAAATAATATACGCCGAGTTTCATGTTATAAGCCAAATCCCTTTCCGGAATTCGCCGATCACAACTTCCTATTTTTAACATTTGTCTGTATTTCTGCGATGAGGCATTGTAACTATTTACACTATTTACATTTTTCAGGTTTGTTGTCCTCATCTTTGTTGTCACATTCACGACGGTTTTGGCTGAAAAAGGCCGGAGCGTACAATGGCTGGAACGTCGTGAATATGACAATACAGGTGAGGACAGTCCGACAATGTAAATAGTTTCTATTTTTAGTGGCTTTAACTTTAAACCCTTGTCCGTATCCTTCCAGCTTTTCACATAAACTCGTTAAGTAGATTACTCGTGCTTTTCTTTTGATTTTATGGCACGCCCTGAGCGTTAAATTCTCCAGGCCCTCTTTTCTCATTATGTGTCTCAAAAATTTCATCTGTCTAGTTCTGATTGCAAATATATATTTCCTTATAGTTTCTATTCTACTTAAAAATTCTGTCCATGGATTCCTCGTTATTCGGCAGAATACCATTTCTGTTGTTTCAAATTTCTTCATCTGTGAGGTGATTGTCCAGCATTCACTGCCACATAGGAGATTAAATATTACACGGCAGTTAAGCACTCTTTTCTTTGTTTCTAAAATGTTCCTGTTTTAATACTTTGCTTATATTCTGGGGGACATTTTTCGCTATTCTTGTGATTCAATCGACTGCTACAGTTTCCATAACATGTAGAAATTGTAATCGTTTACACATCACTTTGACGTTGTAGTAACAGTTTTACGAATTTACTAGATTCTCCGAGTTTCACAAATTTTAACCTGGATACTGAAACTTCAGAAAATTACTAGAATTACTGGTGAAAATTTAACGTTTTTTCTATTTTAATTTTCTGATGAATCATAATTCTTAAGTTAATGATTAAATAATCTCTTTGCGAGTTCCACGGCTATAGAATAGCTATGGAAAAATCTTCTACTGCATCGTTAAATATTTGAGCTTAACAACTTTAACAAAATATTAAAATAACAATCATAAATATGAATTCAGGTTATTAATTAAAGAAGTAAGAGGGTACAAATGAAAAGATTAAAAATTGAAGAGATTTTCCTTTTCACTAAAGCAGATGTTAAAAACATGAATGTTCTTTTTTTGTTTGCTTCTTTCTTTCTTTCTTTCTTTCTTTCTTTCTTTCTTTCTTCACACACGACCAAACGGCGTCTTGGTATATCTATTTTTTTGCAATCAATCATAACATACAGACTAATTAAGAAACTAAGGATCAAGAAGAATTATAACAGGATAATTAACGTAATCATAGTTTAGAAAGGTTTTGAATGAAAAATTAGAACTCAGTGTCATTTTAACGTGGATTTGGTTGATTTTGTTTAGCGGCATATCAACACCTATATGGGCTATTTAATGTCAAAATCTAAATCTTTCGAACGCATCTGTATGCCTTCAGCTTCAAATAAAATGTATTGTGGGTCATTTTACTATCAGTAGGTATTGTTGGTAATTTTGTATTATAGAAAATGTATTGCTGGTATTTTTACTATGAAAATGTAATTTTATATTTTCATAATGTTTTTGTTTATATTTCAGTATTATTTCTTGGGATGGAGGCGGCTTAAGTTTGAAGAAGTAGTCATTTTTCCAATTCTTCTCTATTACTGAATTTTTTTGTTTTGTTTGAGTGTTCACAGTCTGTCCATAGCTGCGTGGTGCTTCCACCCCGGGTCAGGGCGGACCTGAGAACAACAACAAGAGGTGGTTCCAAGCTCCTCAAAGCATTCAGTCCTCCGATCAAAGGCCCTGCTGCCGGACTTAGCGTATCGTTATACCCAGGACTAGAACCTAACATTTGTTAAGACGCCTGGTTAGGGCGAATCTGGGAATAATAGCAATTAAGAGATGCTTCGAAGCTCCTCAAAACCATCAATCTCCCGAGCAACGATCTTGCTGCTGGATGTACTTTATCGCCACACCTAGGAGAGTTGTAACATTGACGAAGTTATACAGACAACATTACTGTAAAATGCATGTTCTATTTTCTGAAAGTAGTTTTACAAAACGTTTTTCTAATGATTCTTCTCAGCTGTTTTCTTTATTCAAATGAAACCGACAGCATAACATCTAGGACAGGCGTGCACAATTTAAAAAATAGGAAGGGCCATGTTGCCCCATAAAATTAACCGCAGGCCACAAGAGAAAAATGTAAAGATGAACTCAAGCACAAAGTGCATCGTTTTTTGGGGCAATGGTTATGCAAGCGTTTATCGTTTCTCTTTTTTTTATATCTTTTGAAAAAGTTCTAATTTAGTATTTGATACTTTGTCACATGCATACTTAGCTTTAGCCCAGGGTTATGAAATATATATTTTAGATATTTCAACATTAAATATTTCTAAAATATTTCTTGTAACTCAGTAATAGAGAAGAATTGGAAAAAAATGACTACTTCTTCAAACTTAAGCCGCCTCCATCCCAAGAAATAATGCTGAAATATAAAGTTGCACTTTCTTCAAACGGAGGAGTGCGAAATGCTGACTCTCTGTGTATCCACCGATTCCCATCTCTTAGGCAGGAGTTTCAAAAACGTTTCGTTACATTGAGGCAGAGTTATAAGACCTGAATTTCATTCGAATCCAGTCTAGATGAAAACACTGAATAGGATTTTTATTATGAGTGAGTTAGAAAAAGATAGATAGATGGAGGACGAAAAATTATTTCTTTTTCTTTTTCCACAAAGATTTAAAAGGGTAATTAGATACAAAGGCGGTGAAATACTGGGTGAATAAAATCATTCTTACCTAAAACTGATCAGTCGGCAAATTTATTCTGAATGTTTTTAAACACTTCACCACAAGCAAGGAACTAAAGTCACAAAGACGCAAGTGGGTTACTAAGTGTTAGAGAATATGAGATAAACTACTATTAAGGAGAGAGGACAGTAAAAGAATAAGAATTAAGAAGACAGAAGATAACGATTGACAGTGAATTTAAATTTTTGAAGATCAAACTAAACTGAGAAGTAAAATCCGGAAGAAAATCTCAGAAACGAGAAGTGTGTTAGAAGAAAATGTTACACTATTTACATTATTCGAACTATTGTCCTCATATTTGTTGCAATATTTATTAAAATGTTTTGGCCTTTCAGTATCTGTCTATATTTCTGTGATGAGGTATTATGTACACTATTTACATTATTCAGACTATTGTCTTTGTCGCCATATTTATTACAACGTTTCGGTCGTTGTAAGCTCCGACCTTCTTCAGGTGATTGGAATGTCGAACTTAACCCTTTATTTCGCTCAATGGGGTAGACTGTTCTAGTTCAACGTGTCATGTTTAATGGATGTCAGTTATCAGTTATCTTCTGTTAATTTCCACCTGGAAGTTCTCCACTGCATTAGCTGGGTATTGAACTCACACTCTTTGGGTCCTGTCACTGGATCTAACTAACGCCTTTATCCACTGTGCCATGTGTCCTTGTAATGAATATGGCGACAAAGATGAGGACAATAGTCCGAATAATGTAAATAGTGTACATAATACCTCATCTCAGAAATATAGACAGATACTGAAAGGCCGAAACGTTGTAATAAATATGGCGACAAAGATGAGGACAATAGTCCGAATAATGTACATAGTGTACATAATACCTCATCTCAGAAATATAGACAGATACTGAAGAGCCAAAACGTTGTAATGAATATGGCGACAAAGATGAGGACAATAGTCCGAATAATGTAAATAGTGTACATAATACATCATCTCAGAAATATCAGATCTGAAAGGCCGAAACGTTGTAATAAATATGGCGACAAAGATGAGGACAATAGTCCGAATAATGTAAATAGTGTACATAATACCTCATCTCAGAAATGTAGGTAGATAAAGAAACTGTTAGTATAGAATTTACGGTCACATCTAATCATTTCAACTGTATAATGATGAGACCTTGCCGCTAATCTAGTACTGTACTTAAATTCATCAAGTCTAAATACCACAGAGGAAAGTTCATCAGAACAATTACCACGAACGAATTTATAGAAAAGGTAAATTCAAGGAAGGTAAATTCAGTATTTTGACAACTCACACTGAATAGACTCGCGCGTATCAGGAAAGCCCACGGTAATATTTTGTGTCGGCTTGGTCTAAAATAAAATTTAAGACTTCATCTTTATTGGCAACTTGCCGTCCGCCAATGTGAACCTTCCTCTTCACAATCCTCCACGATTTTTCGATCAGGTTATGGTCAAGTGAACAGGCAAGATTCTTCTTCTAAATACCGCGTCGCTTCAGAACACGAGCGATGATGACTCATCACAACTTCTCTTTTCTGTCTCTTAGCAAGTTTAGCCTTTCTGCTATCTCTCCATTAACCTAAGATCACGTCATATACTTAAAAAAAAACAACAACTCGAAATCGAAACTTTCATTTGGATGTTAAGCATGAAAATAAAACGTTCAGAAATACATAAGCTGTCAACTGTATACAATCGCTTTCACAAATCAACGGTTCAAAATGGCGTCGAGTCAATAAAGCCTGAAGGCCTTGACGAAGACCATCCTTCTTTTTACCTCGTGGACTCGCGCTACAGAATCGCAAACAAAATCTGTACCAAATAAAAGAAACCACATCACCCGAGGACTTTCAGTAACAGTAACAAATAAAATTATTGGCACATGTAACCCGAAGAAAAATAATGACATAATCAAGATTTTGACATTCCACACTACTTTAACCAAAAGTTTAGGAAGGAAACCTCAATGAATACAAGAAAGAGTGATAACAGTTAGTAAACATGAGAAACTTATTTTCCTGTAAAATTTGACAAACTTGGACCTTCGTGCCGAGTGACAAAAATATGGGCGTCCTGGGTAAGACGTTAAACTACACCCGCGTCCTGATCAGGAGGCTTTGAGTAGCGTGGCACCACCTCTTAATTGCTGGTGTTCCCAGGTCCACCCTGACTCGGGGTGGTAGCACCTGTTAGGGTCCCAGCTATGAGCAAATAGTTAATTATTACAAGCAATACCTTTTTGAAAAAAAATATTATCAGCAATACAATTTTGAAGGAAATATATTGCCAGAAACAGATTCTTGACAAAACAAAATATTACCAGCAATAGAAATTTTGTCAGCATTAAATAAACCATTGAGGTTGATATGCCATAAAACAAAATAAACCAAACTAATGTAAACCAAGGAATACATACTCTATTCATACGAATCTATCCTCAAAATGTTGTCGGCATTAAATAACACATTGAGGTTGATATGCCGTAAAACAAAATAAACCAAACCAATCTAAACCAATGAATACATACTCTATTCATATGAATCTATCCTAAAAATGTTGTCGGCATTAAATAACCCATTGAGGTTGATATGCCATAAAACAAAATAAACCAAAAAGGCGCTTTTTCCTTTACACCGCTATTATTTTAACTACCTTCACTCCTCAGCAGTATGAACAATTTAGGAATCAGTACATATCCTAGGCCACAAAAGTGTCCAAGCATAGATATGAATACAATATGGGAACCAGTAATAGAAAGAGCTAGATAAAAACAATAATAACAACAAATTGTAATATGAGCTCAGTTAAAAAAAAATGATAACTGAGGCATTAAGATTATAAGTCCTCAAAATTAATTCAGTCATCTACCCAAGGCCACATGGCCCAGTGAATAAAAGCGTTTGTTGAAGTAATCCAGTAAGGTGAACAAAAACTTGGAGCGTTGAGTTACTAAAGGGAAATAACTGGATTTGAAACTGAGATATCCCGAAGAGGCATGGAACTAGAACAATCTAACCTCAGTTGACGAAATAAAGAGTTCGATTCGAAATTCCAATCATTTGAAGAAGAAACGGTGTGTACAATGGCCCAAATGTGAATATGACAAAAAAGAGGAGGACAACAGTCCGAATAATGTAAATAGTGTAAATAGGTTAGGTTACCTTATCCCAGAAATATAAACAGATAAAATTATATATATATATGTATCAGAATAATAGTGGGATAATGGATGACAATAATATTCAAAACTGAGTAGCAACTCGTTCCGAGAAGTTTTCTGGATAAAATCAATCTTATATAATTAAAAGAAAAAATGATGGCGGGTGATTACGCCGGTTACATCGAAATATGATTCAGAGAACCTGAATATACAAATTAAAAAATTGACGTTCGATGTTAAACTCATCACAATTCATCTTTTTATTACTTTATTTTTTAGAGTAAACTGTGGAAGCAGTTATCTCCCTTCCTAAGGAACTCTCTAAAAAAGGGGTTAATTTTATACTTCCTGAATATTTGATCTGTTGTAAGTCAGTTAGTGAATAAACCTGTTACATTATACATCTCTTGTTCTATTCTCCTTTTTCTACATATTTTTTGTCGTTATATGTCGACTTACCACTGTAAGCCGAAATTATTTTCTAATTTTAACTTATCCCATTTTTGGGTGAGAAAAAAAAACAGTTTATTATTTTTTCCATCGCCTTAATTAGAATTAATATTCATTCCTATGTTTTTTTCTTAGTCCTTTTCCAGTGTTAAGGCGAGAAAACATGAGAATAGAAAGAGCAACTTTGCTTGATCGAGGTTTATGGCTGGCGTGTGTCATAAGACATGTTTTCCATATTCAGTAACATGGCGTGATTAATGGAACAACACATGTAACCAAATACAGTTTGTCAGACGCTGATGTGGATTTAGCAAAGATTAAAAACTACAAGTAAATATTCGTACCAGTATTCGTTCGTAGCTACTGCTTTTTCGTCAGGAAGAAAGTTATCGGACGATTTTTAAATAAGGAAATGTTCTTCATTCTCTATTTTACTCTCAAATAAAGCAAGGCTTAAAAAACAACCGTATAAGGTTATAAAAAGAACAAGTCAGTTTGTGTTTTATACCATTATTGCACATGAATGTTACTGATTGCAAGCTAACCTCTTATGACCCCAGCTATAAACCTTTTAGAAAAATAGATTCAAGTCCAGTGTATATTGTAAAACGATGAATAAAGTATTGCTGGAAAAATAATTTTACGAGTTAAGGTTGTCAGTATCAGTGGCGAAAACAAGGAAACTGCAATAAATTTCACTACGTCACTATGAAGTCGTTAACGCTTCTCATAAAAAGTGTCAATAAATGCCATATTTTTGGTAACACAAGATGCATTTCTTCCTGTTGCATGTAGTCTCACGTCCTCACAGCTAACACAAAACTTTAACACTTGGACTGTGTTAGGCTTTCATAAGGTATCTTTTATTTACTAAACCTAGCTTAGTTTAGAAGATCAAAAATGTAGAGCACACAGTGTGGATCGATCTCAGTATTCAACAAAAGCTCGCTAACCTCACCCTGAAGGTGGCGCCTAGAATACGCCGAGTGTATTTTCATTCGAGCGGATATATTCATATATAAACAAATATTTTACCTATAGACTCATTTATGAACCCAATGTTTACTTATAGATTCAAATTTAAAAGCAACTAATGTTTATAGATTCAAGGATAAATTCACGTAATGTTTAACTGATGGCTCAAACTTAAACCCAGTTGATTTTTAGATGAAGACACAATTATAAACCAGACCAATGTTTATCTATAGACTCAAGCATAAATTCAACCAATGTTTACCTATAGACTCAAGTGCAAACCCATCCAATATTTATCTATAGGTTCGAGTATAAATCTGATCAGTGGTCGTAGACCAAAGTAGACCAAACGTAAATAAACCTTCATTTTTATGGGTAAAGTTCTATTAATATTCTGCGCGTCCGTCAATCGTGGTAGCGTGAAACTCGAGTAGCTATCTGAATTTAGTCTTTTTCCGCGTCGTGTCACTGAAAACGTATTTTGCTGTGTCTTACTCTTTTATGACATAGAGCACTGGCTCTATGTCTAAAAGATAATACTAGGATCCACTTGGATTATATACGAACGGATTTATTACCTGTACTATATATGTATACACACACACACACACACACACACACACACACACACACACAAGTTGTTTCACACATACCATCTAATGATGCGCCTAAAACACACACACATATATATATATATATATATGAAAAGTGAATATAAATATAAATATATATATATATGTATAATTATTTATATATTATATTCAGGTACTTATTAGAAAGCGCTCAATATCAGAGATACTAACATATTTGGGTTAATGACATCAGCGCCAGGGTCTAAAAACTCACACTACACACAAATATATATATATATATATATATATATATATATATATATATATATATATATATATATACATCGCCCTAAGAAATATATATATGTATATACATATACATCATAAAAGATTAATGGTCAGGATTGAATCAAACCAGTTGTATTTCGTTAGGTGTCTATCTTTTTGGTCTTAGTATTTTTCATCGGTTTTTCTCTTGGCTTTTAATTTGTTGGTCTTTGCTTTTGATTTTTTTTTCTTATTTTCTTCGTTCATTTGGCAGATTTTGGATTGATTTTACCAAAATTTGGTTTGTCACACACACACACACACACACACATATAGAAACACAAGTTGTTTCAGGTAAGCTTACATACCATCTTAACGATATCAGCGCCCTAATAAACACCTTATAACAACACACTATACCAATAGTACAAGATTCAAATCCTGAAGAAAAAGAAAATCCTAATCAGCAATACAAAAATTCTCTACAAAAACAAGTTCAAAAAACGATTATAAATTCTTGAAGCCATCAAAATTTAAAACCAAAAACCCAACATGAATAAAATAGCATTTAATACTGGCAGAAACATCTTCAATATATTTAATAACTAATCCTCCAAATAATAAACACTAACCATCTTCCAACTGCTCATGAAATAATCCAACAACACTGCCTAAATACCCAAAATATTATCTATAAAATAAAATATTTAACAACCTACTTCAAACCGAAACATGCAGCCATGATGAGGGTTGACGACAACCGAAAGTGCTCGGCAAAACACCAAGTACTGGAGCCTTTTTTCAGGAACTTAGATAAAATATATAAAAAAATCTTGTGGGCAATCAAGAAAAAGATTATTAAATGGAAAAGTTAGGTAGTCTTTAACAACACATGTATCAATATATATATATATATATATATATATATATATATATATATATATATATATATATATATATAGTGTGTGTGTGTGTGTGTGTGTGTGTATTTGGGCAGCAATCCCTCCATTATAAAAGTTTCAATAAAGACCACTGATAAAGTACTAGGCTTTTTATTTAATTTTTCTCTAGTATATAGTATAAATGTTTCCTTTTTCTTGCAATAAAATATTTCATAATTCACCAAATGTTCTGCATATGTGAGCGATTTCAGCTAATCTTTTAGCCGTTATCGAAGTTGACTTTTATCTGAATGTATGAACAATTTTATGTGTGCATCTAGAGTTATAGGAATGTATTATTTTACAAACATAGTGAGCACATTACGGCTGTGTTTTTAGTTGATGCCATTGACTATTATAGATTGGAATTTAATCATTGATCAGAATTTGTTGATTCTGAACGCTTTCGGTTAAAATGTTGACCGTTTTTTAAGGATTATTTTTTATACTCCTATAATAAACTGCGCATAAGTTCTATTGCTGACGGAATAAAAGCTTCTCATCGCAGAACTATTATTATTTATTAGAGTACATTAGTATATCTATCTATCTATCTATCTATCTATCTATCTATCTATCTATCTATCTATCTCATACTGTTCATATCTATCTATCTATCTATCTATCATATTCTTTTACACTCAGTAAATTCTTGTATCTTAGTGGTTTTATTGCCTTGCTTGGATAGATAGATAGATAGATAGATATGAACAGTATGAGATAGACTATCTATCTATCTATCTATCTATCTATCTATCTATCTATCTATCTATCTATCTATGTTCATATCTATCTTCATATCTATCTATCTATCTATCTATCTATCTATCTATCTATCTCGGTTTGTTCATATATATTTATCTATATCAGTCTGTTCATATCTATCTATATATATATACATACATATACATATATATATCTGTTTAGCTACTTAGATGATAAATTCCACAACCATCATCAGTTAATAATTATTTCTTCTAGCGTCATCATTTTCTACCCTCACCCATGCTTATCATCTTCGGGACAGTTTCGCGTACAGGATTGGTGGCGAGATTAAACAACTTTCCGTTTTCTTTCGTTCCCCTCATCAGTCCGCACCCAAGATGTCATGACGAATATCAACGCAATAAAACTTTTATAACTTCTTGCCAGCTACAGTCATTTACTTTCCTTGGTGTCACTCTCTGGCAAATTCTCAGTGAAGAAATAATCACGAATAGCAGAACTAAAATTAATTAAAAAAAAGTATAATGAGAAAACAAATAAAGATTTCCTATTATAGTGAAGGAAGCTGTCTATATTTCAGAGATGAGGTATTATGTACATTATTTACATTATTCGGACTATTGTTCTCATCTTTGTCGCCATATTTATTACAACATTTCGGCCGTTGTACGTTCCGGCCTTCTTCATGTGGTTAGAATGTCGAACTGAACCTTTTATTTCGCTTACTGGGGTAGACTGTTCTAGTTCCACGTGCCATGTTTAATGGATGTCAGTTATCAGTTATCTCCTGTTAATTTCCCTCTGAAAGTTCTCCACTGCATTCATACACGGATGTCCTCAAGGACACATGGTACAGTGGATAAAGACGTTAGTTAGATCCAGTTACAGGACCCAAAGAGTGTGAGTTCAATACCTGATTAAGGCAGTGGAAAACTTTCAGAGGGAAATTAACTGGAGATAACTGATAACTGACATCCATTAAACATGGCACGTAGAACTAGAACAGTCTTTCCCAGTGAGCGAAATAAAGGGGTAAAGTTCGACATTCCAACCACCTGAAGAAGGCCGGAGCGTAAAACGGCCGAAACGTTGTAATAAATATGGCGACAAAGATGAGGACAAGAGTCCGAATAATGTAAATAATATAGTGAAGGAAATATTTCACTTCATTTTAAATAAGTCACTTTTGGATACGGGATCATTGCATCATATATTCACTGTGAACGGCATCGCGTTTATAATATTAAAAGAAAGACGAAATATTTAAATAAAATATTCAACAATGAAGTACTGCAAAGTCTAAACAACTGGTTTTGTTTTGGTCATTATATGGTATGAGAAGAGTTTTATTTAGACTTAATATATTCAAAAGGTCGCTTTATTTACATTCGTGTTACTTTCAAAATGTTTCGGCCGTTGTATCCTCCAGTCTTCATCAGGTGCCAGGATAAACATTATATTAATGTTTTTTTGCGCGTGTTGATTGTTTTCGGCTCGCTGTCATCAGTAATGCCCAGTTATTGTTTGCTACAATTATACTGAGTCTAAACTTGTAGTACCCAGCCCAGGAATTGAACCCACGTCTCCAAATTCACGAAACTGCCGTTAATTTACTAGGCTATGGTAGAGTCTGGTTTATATTCTCTGTTATAAAAAAATTAATTGAGCTCTTTTTGTGGATCAATTTTAATATTTGATATTACTAGGATCCACTTAGATTATATACGAACGGATTAATTACCTGTACTATATATTACTTTTCAATATATCAACCAATACACGGACGAAACAATAATGATTGTTTTTGTTGCATGAAAAATTTCAAAGCAACGACTAACTCATGTATACAAGACGCGGAAGCGAAAATCGCGTTGCAGCTTGTGACGTCACACATGACCACGCGAGAGTGAAAACGAGAAGTATTAAGTATGGGAAGCCGTTGGTATAAACCAATGGCTTCTGTTATCAATTACAGACATTTAAGAATATTTGTGGAGATTTCATAGTTTCTTTTGTTCAGGTTAGTTTTCAACTGTTTTATGTATATAGCTTCAAGAATTTTTAGTTTTTGTTTATTGTTTTCATGTCTAAGTATAGTTGTGTTTTCAACAAGGATTTTCCGGAATTGTGTACGCGGCCAGGCATGTTGTTTTAAATGTCTAAAAATGTTAGAGTTATCATTCAAATGTAAAGTCAAGTGTCGTGAAAGCAAGTTTGTGGTGTGACCAACATAAATATTATTTAATCCATTGGAGATACAATCTCCCAAAGGGCACTTGAATTTGTAAATTATGTTGTTTTTTTTGCAAATCGCTAACAGGGGTGGTGGGGAAGAATCATTGCAAATAATTGAGTTGGATATACTAGATTTAGTGTATTAGGTTATTCATATACTACACTAAATGGACAAAGTCCAATAATTATTTTAAGACATTTTTTATGTTTATACGTTTTTTTTATAGATACAAATATCTAAGTAAATGCTTTGTTTATAATAAACAGTATTTACGACATTTACCGTCCTGAATGTCCGAAAAATTTTCATAGAAAATATGCGTCCTACGACAGGAATCGAACCTGTATCTTATACGGAACCGTCATATAGCCTGACATGCTTTACCGATTTAGCTATAGAGGAGCGTTTCGGTTAGCTAGGTCTATTTTACTGTTTTTAAACCTTGCTTAAATATACATACATATATATATATATATATATATATATATATATATATATATATATATATATATATATATATATATATTAATGGTCAGGATTGAATCAGACCAGGAAACACTAGTATTAAAATGTACTCAATACACGTATGAAAAGATATAAGATAAAAATAAAACTTACATACAGAACTGTTAACATTAAAAATCAGTGCCACAGAGGAGGGTTCGGTTAACAATGTGTGACGTCATTTGTTGCATTTGGATTGGCCATGAGCAGATATGAATGTACGTGAGAGAATCATGGAAGATTGTAGTTTAAAGACAGCAAAATCGACTTTGCTAACCGAACGCTCTCTATGGCTAAATCGGTTCAGGGCACGCCAGGCTAAATGACGTTTCCGTATAGGATACAGGTTCGATTCCTGTCGGAGGACGAATATTTTCTATGAAAATTCCTCGGACATTCAGGCCGGTAAATGTTGTTTAATACTGTTAATTATAAACAGAGATTTTCCTTAAATATTTGTATCTATAAAAAGAATGTATAAACATAAAAAATCTCTTAAAACTATATATTATGTAACACCGGAATATTTCTTTTCTTGAAGAAGGAGTGCTTGAAATTCAGAAATTTATTTCTAGAATTTTCCGCTTTTGATGTGTCTATATCAATATTTTCCCAAGTAATGTCTCCATGGGCGTATAGTTTTCCCAAATAACTTCTCAATGAGCATTTGTTTTCACAGAGAACGCCTCGATAGTCATTATGATCGCACAAGAAACGTCTCAGTGGATAGAACCATTTCACAAATAACGTCTAAATGCTGGTATTTTTTTTTTTTTTTTCACAAGTAACATTTTATGGGTGTCATGAATTCGCAAATAACATCACTACCGGTATATTTTTCCACATTTCCCCATAGACGAATTTTCATAATTTACGCGTCAATATGCACTGAAAGACTGAATGATATAAAACAAAAATAACTTTTACAAACACGTTCTTTTTTATTATTATTTTATTAGGATGTAAAAATTTTTAAATCCAGTTTCGGAATGTTCTGAATCGAAGTTCTGGCGATGCCTAGTTGAGCAGATCAACGAGAGGTAGACGCTGATTAAGCAAACTCTGCCGTACAGCTTCTACCTCTGCGTCTGTGCCTCTTCCCGAAAGATCGTTGACTGATCCAGTTCTTTCAAACCGGTCGATTAGGTTCCGAATCATGTTATCACTTGTCTGACATAAAAATGTTGCCGTATTTTCTCTGAGTTTGAATAATTGATCTTTCATTTGAATAGAAAAACTCAATGATTTTTACTTACTGCTGGACATCATACGTAGCCATTTTAATCTGCAAGAGATGCTCTATAACCTGAAAAAAAAACCCGAAAAAGATTGAAATTGAACAAGCTAAAACTTTTTCAGTGGCCTCCCTATAAAATGTTTTCACAGGTATCGATTCCGTGGGTGACTGTGGGCAAATATTTGAAAAGTAATGTTTCCATAGGCATTGTTTTTACGCGTGTAACGTGTTTAAGGGTGAACTGTGTGCCTATTTTCATAATGTTTGAACAAGGACAGATTTCACTATATTTTTGCCTGATATTCAGAGATGAATAATTATTATTTATTCATACTTGATCGAGCTTTTCGTCATGCTTTTGTTTTATCACATATTTGTAAGTCGAATTCACTTGGACTGTTAAATTAATCATCGTGAAGTCAGAACAAAGTTTAGATATATGTAAACGGGTTTGGCGCCAGCATGACATCCATATGAAAGTTTCGAGGAGGCAATACATAATTCAATTTTCAGCTTAATGTTTTGTATTTTCTCTGAGTTTGAATAATTTCAGCATTCTTTTTATATATATATATATATATATATATATATATATATATATATATGTTTATAAGAATGCAAAATTATATATATATATATATATATATATATATATATATATATATATATATATATATATATATATATATATATATATATATATATGTGTGTGTGTGCAATTTTTTTATGTATATTATTTATATATTTTATATGCGCTACCATAAAAACACCGATATACGCAACCATATATAAATTCAAAATTTAAAAATTAATCAGTTTGTCAGACGATCGTAAATAGCAGGAAACCCAGGGTCATAAACCCACACCAATCCATCTAAATATATATATTATGAAATAGACAAAGTCCGACAATTATTTTAAGACATTTTTTATGTTCATACATTCTTTTTATAGATACAAATATTTAATAAATGCTCTGTTTTATAATAAACAGTATTGATAACATTTACCGGCCTATACGGAAGAGTCATTTAACCTGACGTGCCTTAACCGATTGAGCCAAGAGGATCGTTTGGCATGCAAGGTCGATTTTACTGCCTTCAAACTTCAACCTTTCATGAATCTCTCACGTACATTCATATGTGATCAAAGCGTATCCAAATGTAAACAAATGACGTCCCACATTATGAAAAGTCCGACAATTATTTTAAGACATTTACATGTTTATTTGTATCTATAAAAAGTATATATAAACATAAAAATGTCTTATATATATAAATTTTAGACTTGCTATTTTACATATAATACTGTTTTTATTGCAGCACATACTCTACGATATTACATACATACATATATATATATATATATATATATATATATATATATATATATATATAGAGAGAGAGAGAGAGAGAGAGAGAGAGAGAGAAAGATAGATAAAGACAGACAGAGAATTTGGACATGGAGATCAACATTGTGTGGTGACTTAAATTTTCAAGCTTCAATACGATCGTCTGACAGTCACCATGCAATGTTGACACTTATGTCCACTGATATCTATAAAAGTACAATTTCTGATATTGAGTCCTCTTCACCTATTAAAAAAAATACAAATTTTAACTATGTACGCTAACAATCAGAACCTTGCCCTCAAGCTCAAATCCTCGGTCAAGATGACTTGTGACCCCATGCTTTGCACGGCCATCGACGGCCTCCAACTTCGTTTACCCAAATTCACTCAAAACACATGGGTCAACCCAAAGGTGCTACCCGCCCCCAGATGGATAGCAACAAGAAGTCACCTTCCTGGTAAATCGACCATGGTGAGATCCAAGTGTTCTAACCTCTCGGCCACGTTCCCCCTCTCCCTCTTTCTTTCTTTCTTTCTTTCTTTCTTTCTCTCTCTCTCTCTCTCTCTCTCTCTCTATATATATATATATATATATATATATATATATATATATAAATTAGTGGACATACGGGTCAACATTGCATGGTGACTGTTAGACAATCGCACTGAAAAGTGATAATTACAGTCACCATGCAGTGTTGATCTCCATGTCCAAATTCTCTGTTTTTCTTTATCTTTTTCTCTTTCTCCCCCTCTCTCTCTCATCTATCTATCTATCTATCTATCTATCTATCTATCTATCTATCTATCTATCTAATACTGCACAGTGTGTGCTGGTGACAATAAAACAGTATTCGATGTAAAATAACAATGCTAATATATATATATATATATATATATATATATATATATATATATATGGGGGTGGTGTTGGTGTTGGTTGGGTATTGTGTGTGTGTAGGGGGCATAAATGACTATGTATGTCTTCATGTCATGAGAGAAAGTGACAGGATGATCCAAGTGTTCAGTTTGTCACCCCACAAGTACTGAAAATCACGATGATGATCACACAGCCGCCAAACCCTGAGAGTCGTAGTTGCAGCACCCCCTACTGCTAAACTAGCAACAGCAGTAGGTGTGGTTAAGGCATGAAAAACAGAATTCGAAAATAATGACTTTTCCTAGGAATCATATTGACAATAACGGAAACCATCCATGAAGCAAGCCTTTGAAATTATCTTTGTTTAACTTTGGTTACAAGTGAGCAGCACGATGTAAGAATCAAACTGACTACAAAAGTAATAGCCCATAATAACAGCTTAGAAATTACTCCATGAAAATGCGCACTTAACTTAGAATAGAGCAAATATTCAATTCTGGGTCACTCAGTGAGGATCACACTTATTAAATTAGTAATAGCCAGTGTAACATGTTTGTTAAACATTACTTCACAACATCAGTAACTCAGATCTATCTCGTCCTGGGTATGACGATAAACTTCATCCGCGTCCTGGGTGAGAGGGTGAACTGCATCCTACAGCAAGGCCTTTGATCGGGAGGTTTTGAAGAGCGTAGTAACACCTCTTGATTGCTGGTATTCTCTGGTCTATCTTGACCCGGGGTGGTGATGCCTGTTGAGGTCCCGACTGTGGACGGGTGGTTAAGCCCACAAAAGGGGTCAAAACACTATGAAAGGATAAAAATAGATTTTAATACCAACAATACGTTTTTTGAAAATTTTTTATCAGCAAAACATTTTTGAAAAAAAATATTACCAGCAATACGTTTTGGAAAAAATATTATCAGCAAAACATTTTTGAAAAGAAAAGTATTATCAGCAATACAGGCTTGAAATATATTACCAGCAATACACTTTTGAAAAAGAAAACGTGTTACAAGCAATACACTTTAGAAAAGAATATTAGCAACAATATATGTTTGAAAAAAAAAGATTACCAGCAATAAAAATGTTGTCGGCATTAAATAACCCATTGGAGTTGATATGGCGTAAAACAAACCAAAGCAAAACAATCAGATCTATTATAAATAAGCATATAGTTTTGCTGTTAAAAGAACTAAAGTGAAAATACTACGAAGTCTTCCAGGTTCTATGATTTATGGTATGGGAGAGAAAGTGTTAATTTACTTATGTGTATCGTAGTGATCTTAACTGCAGTTTCAGCTGACATAAATTGATGCCATGAAGATTTTTATGGAAATGTTATTTGGTGTGCGAGAAAGATATCCGTAAAAAAATCATCTTTATCTCAAGTGAGATCGGCAGATGAAAAAACGTTTTCATGTTTTATATTTTTTTCTTTTCACTCTTTCTGATTGTGATGCGGCTTTTATCACAAAGGCAATTGCCAAAATTTTTCATTGAAAAAACCTAATAGAAAGTCACGCCGAAAAAAAAAATTATTTTTAAATAGAAAAACATGGTTTCCAATAACAAAATTACGCAACCTCTCCACAAAAAAACCCCAACAAAACTGTGAAGAAAATATGACCCAAAACTTCGCATATGAATGGATGCTTAAGGGTTTTCGGCTTGACGAAGAAGTCCTTTAAAAATAAAATTTGATCTTTTGTCATTTGTTCATTTTCGGAGAGAAAACTGTTCAGCAGCCCCTCCTCTATCTCTATATAGTGTTTTAAAGTCCATTCTAAAATTCTCTTTGTTTATATTTTGTTGCGAAACTGTGCAGATATCAAAAGGCAACACCTGACCGACTCATATTCGTGGTCAAGTCGGTAAGACGTGCCGGGCTAAACTTTGCCTTGATGGACGTAGTATCAAATCTTGCCGGAAAGATCAAATTTCACTTAAATACGATTTTTGGAACATTCAGGCATTTGTGTGCGTGTGTGTGTGTAAAATGACAATAGGAATAAAGACGAAAGGAAAATTTATCTTAGCCGACGCGTTTCGTCCGCTGAGACATTTGTTTTCTTAAAGTCCCCCAGCGGACGAAACGCGTCGGCTAAGAGAAGCATAAAGCGAAAGAACGTAAATGACTAAAATTTAACGCATTTAAAGAAGAACTGATTGCGTCTAGCATGAAACAGCCTGTCGCTTCTGAGTGTTGACTTCAGTATTCACTTTTATATCTATATTTACATACGCTCTATCTCTGATATTGAGCACTTTATCCCATAAATATAGCACACCTTAAAACTATATTTCTTCATATGTATATATAAATATATATATATATATATATAGAGAGAGAGAGAGAGAAAGATATATATATATATAGATAGATAGATAGATAATGAACCGAGCGATATATATATATATATATATATATATATATATATATATATATATATATATATATATATATATATATAGAGAGAGAGAGAGATAGATAGATGTAAAAAAGAAGGAAGAAATGCAAAGTGCCCATTTGTTTGTAAAAGTAGACGGTATTAATAAGATTTTAGTTTCGGCGTCTGCATCTTTGCCACTACAATTTGCACATGTTTGTCGACTTCCGTGACCGAAATGTCTGTGTTTCTGCACCCTGTTTTGCTTGCTCTACGCCTGAACTTTTTAATGTGTCTCCCCTTAAGGCCACATCTCCACCCTCTGATCTACCACTTACGACTCGTGACTTTATTTGAAGACGGACGGCATCTGTATATATATATATTTTTTACTTTCTGCCTGCAATCGAATGAGATGGTGTAAAAGATATTTGTATTTAGTTAGGGTAACGGTGTTTCGCTGTTAACAATTCCTTATTCCGTCTCTTTTTTTTGTTTTTTTGGAGTCCATTTTCTTTTTTGTTGCTTTAACGAAAAATCAAGGGGTTGTTATTTCTTTTACTCCTTTTTGCATTTTCTTTCTTTTTAATTCTTTTTTCTTTTCCTTTTTTTTTTTTTTACTTCCCATTGTTTTTTTTATTTTTATTTTTTACACTCTTTTCCAGTTCTTTGTTTAAAGGATCAGATTTGTTTACTCTTCATTTCAATTTGTTTCTCGTTTCTTTCTATTTTTCTTTCTTTCTTTCTTTCTTTCTTTCTTTCTTTCTTTTTTGTTTTCGTTCTTTTTTGTTTTTGTTCTTTTTTTCTTTCATATTTGTTGCTTGTTTGTTTGTTTCTTTCTATTTCTTCCTTTCTTTATTTCTTTTTTGTTTTCGTTCTTTTTTTGTTTTCGTTCTTTTTTGTTTTCGTTCTTTTTTCTTTCTTAGTTGTTGCCTCTTTCTTTCTTTCTTTCTTTCTTTCTTTCTTTGGTGCTGATATTTCATTTTCTTTCTTTCTTTTTCGTTTTCTTTCTTCTTTTTTCTTCCTTCCTTATTTGCTGCTGCTTCCTATTTCTTTCTTTCCTTCCTTCTTTCTTTCTTTCTTTCTTTCTTTCTTTAATTCTTTCTTTCTCTTTCGTTTTATTTCTTCCTTTCTTTATTTCTTTTTTGTTTTCTTCTTTTTTCTTTCTTATTTGTTGCTTGTTTTTTTTTTCTTTCTTTCTTTAGTGTTTCTATTTCATCCAATTTCTTTTTCGTTTTTTTCTTTCTTCCTTATTTGTTACAGCTTCCTGTTTCTTCCTTTCTATTTCGTTTTATTTCTTCATTTCTTTATTTCTTCCTTTCTTTTTCGTTTTCTTTCTTCTTTTTTCTTTCTTTCTTAATTGTTTCCGCTTCCTGTTTCTTTCTTTCTTTTGTTTTTCTTTTTCGTTTTTTATCTTCTTTTTTCTTTCTTATTTGTTGCTGCTTCCTCTTTCTTTCTTTTTTCTTTCTTTCTTATTGGTTGTTGTTTCCTGTTTTTCTTTCTTTTTTTCTTTCTTCGTTGTCTTTCTTCTTTCTTTCATTCATTCTTTCTTTCACAACCATTTTCCTTAGGGCCACCATTGCGTATCGGAAAGCAATTTGTGGCCAAGACAGACAGCATCAAACATTCTATCGCGTTTTAGTAAGCGATCAGAGCCAGGCATCTAGCCAACTGATTACCAAAGTTGTACAAGGAACAAGAAACACACCAAGAAAATGCCGACTCCCTAATTGAGTGCCGAAACACTTTACCACTCCACCCAACTACCGCATTTTGGCCTTTTTCCTTCCTTTTTTTTATCAAATTCGCTTTATCTATCTATCTATCTATCTATCTATCTATCTATCTATCAGCAAAGCAATAAATCCACTAAGACACAAGGGGTGACTGACTATTAGAGAATATGAAAAAATACTATTAAGGAGAGAGAAAAATAAAGGAAGTGAAATTAAGAAGACAGAAGATAACGATTGACATTGCATTTTCATTTTTGGAGATCAAACTTGACTGGGAAGCAAGAAGCCGGAAGAAAGTTCCACAAGTGAGAAGTGCGAGAGAAGAAACTATAAGCACACAATTTACAATTACTTCTAGCCATTTCAAATGTAAAATAATAATACCTTGCCTTCAATCTTTCGCTTAAATTCATAGAGGAACGTTTAGCAGAATAATTACGATGTACCCATGTGTAGAAAAGGCACAGAAAATCTACCTTAAGGTGGAAAATGACTGAAGTCAAGATGCCAGATCAGGATCAATAACATTACTGATTGTTATTTGGATTTTATGAAGAATCTCTAAACATATATCAGGGACACCAGACAAGATGTTGCAGCTATATTCAAAGCAAGGGCGAACTAATAAATATGTAAGATAGATTCTGGCGAGAAAAACTGTCTAGAAAGACACAGAGAACCAACTTTCCTGGCAGAAGACTTAGCAAATTCTTTCCACTTCATGTCACGTTAATCCGAGAGGGCACCATGAGTCACTCTTCTGAAGGTTAGCATCAGCCATGCTGACTGAAGGCGAAAAGAATTCTCTCAGATGATTAGTAAAGAGCAGTATAGTTTTGGAGGCGTTAAAATTAACAAGCCATTCTTTGTCCTAGTTAACAACAGATTGTAGGTCATTTTTGAGATCAGCTGGCAATTTGACCTTATTGAACCGATCAGACTTATGTAATTTTTTGTGTATATATATATATATATATATATATATATATATATATATATATATATATATATGAATGCATGTATAAAGGAAAAAAAAAGACAATAGTAAAACTGTGTAGTTTTACCCGACGCATTTCGTCCAATGTGGACATTTTCAATAAAAAAAATGAAATGAATTTATTGAAAGAAAGTATCTACAAACAATAAACAAAATATCGTTAGCAAATAGAAGAATTTAGAAACGCTATTGTAATACATATGGTGAAATGAAAAATTACAACAATTATTTTATGTTTGAAGAGAATATTTTCACATGTTGAAATATTGTTTGTATAGTTGTATTGACGGATTCAACCGTTTTCTTTTGATTTCTATATATATTTGTTGTGTACGTTGGCTTGGGAGAGTAGTGATTCTGTTAGGATAGGTGATATTGGAAAAAAAACCCGGGGTGTAGATTAATATTTGGATAATATTAAATGGCGACACTCTCGAGGATTGTCCTTCTGAGTGAATTATTTTCTTATATTTCTTTCTCATATATGCGATTTTTCAATCTCTCCATGTCTCTCCAATATATTGTGGAGAACAATTTTGGCAATTTATTTTGTATATGCCTGCTTCAGAAATATTATTGCTATGGGTGTTTGAGAATCTGATTATATCCATAAAGGTTTTGGAAGTGTTTGTGATTATTTTGATATTATTTAGATGGGGTAGGTTGTTCTGGATAGTGAACCTGACGGAGTTGGTCGGTGGTATTATGTATCTGTTCTCATATAATTTATTATTATGGATGATATTTTTTATTTTTGTTGTTATATCTTGCATGTCTTTCTTTTTTCGTTGTGGATGAAATAATATGAGTATTGTAGGTTTTTGCATGTGTTTTCTATGTATATTTCTTCTTTAAGTAAATACTGGGAACTGCAGATTCTTAATGCTCTTAAATAGAAAACTATAATAATTCCATATTTAATTTTAGAAGAGTGGATTGAGTAGAAAATGATCAGGTCCTTTTAGTTGGTAGCTTTTTTATAAACATCAACATTGAGTTCGTTATTGTTTCTGTGTAACATGGTATCTAGGAAGGGGAGAGTGTAGTTGGTTTCAGTTTCAAAAGTGAAGTCTATTGTAGGTACAACGTTGTTAAGCTGATTGACTAGATCTGTTAAATTAGTATCTTGTGGATATATTAATAGTGAGTTGTCTATGTATCTGAAAAAAGAAGAGTTTGGAGGCAGTATGTTTTTGAATGGGTTACTTTCTAGAAACTCTAAAAATAGACAATCATTTATATATATATATATATATATATATATATATATATATATATATATATATATATATATATAAATATATATATAGTGTATTGGGGCATCAGATCATTATTCAAACATATATTGTTAAATAACAGGAAATGAATGTCTATTATGTTTGATCATGAGTCGTTTTAAACTTCGTATATTTGCTTTAATTTCTATATACATTGGTTTTACTACAACCACTCTCTCCCGTAGACTTACCTGTCACATTTCTGATCATAGTTCTATTAAAAAACCTTTCTTAGAAAAAACATAGCTATATATATAATATTACACAGATATTAGCTAATAACACAACAATACTCACACATATTGGAGGCCATCTACATTAAAAGAAAATAACCCACATTCAATAAAATTACATTCCAGACTTGTCACAACATATTACATTGTATCTAGACATATGGTTCTGTTGTTAATATTTCGGCCTCTCGCGTTGTATGACGTCATAGAACCGCATCATGAATTTACGACCTAAGTCTACTATTCCGCGACTGTTATCGCCAACAGAATATCATCTTTGATGGCGAATATCTTTGTTTAAATGTCCAATATAATCACTCTGAGGATGGCTCATGTGAGCCGAAAACTTAGATCAAGAAGCAGTAAAAGAAGAAAATATCGACATGTTGGACAGTTATCTTTATTTTCTCCCGAAACTAAAGCCACTATACGAAGTTTATAACGGCTCATGATGAAACATAAAAGATATTCGTTGTTTATATATATATATATATATATATATATATATATGTATGTATGTGTGTGTGTGTGTGTTAATATGTGTATACACACACATACACACACACATATATATATATATATATGGATGTAAAAACAAACTGAGATAGTTCTATCATTTTGATATTACATATTTTCAACCTCTGGGGCGGTATTGTTAAGAAATTATGACTATTTCAGGTGTTGCAGCAACAATATTAACAACATTTATCGGCCTCAATGTTTAAGTTGGTGAATGTTGCCATAATCCTTGCCTTGTTCAACTTTGGTGTTAAAAAAGTTTTGTTGGTCTCTTGTTCAACTGCGTCGCACACAGTAATCATAACATATATATATATATATATATATATATATATATATATATATATATATATATATAGAGAGAGACAGATAGAGAGAGAGAGAGAGAGGAGAAAGAGTAAGAATCTTAGATAAATAGATAGATATAGTAGAAGAGATTGAGGTAGATAGATAGATAGATAGATAGAGAGAGAGAGAGAGAGAGAGAGAGGGGAATTAACTGAGATAGATGAATAGGTACATAGATATTGAGGAAGTAGTTAAAATAGATAGACAGTCAGACATATAGATAGATAGATTAGGTAGAGACCTAGATAGATAGATAGATAGATAGATAAATAGATATGAACAAACTGAGATAGATAGATAGATGAATAGATAGATAGATAGATATGAACAGACTGGGATAGATAGATAGATAGATAGATAGATAGATATGAACAGACTGGGATAGATAGATAGATAGATAGATAGATAGATAGATAGATAGATAGATAGATATGAACAGATTGGGATAGATAGATAGATAGATAGATATGAAAAGGACAGAGATAGAAAGATAGATAGACAGATTATGAACAGTACAATCAAACGTTCGATCACGATGACTTGCTACTTTTTGTTAGCACAACGAACGATGCCTTTTAAACTTTCTCCCCTATCCAATTTCAGTCACGAGTCTTTGGTCAAGCCATATTATGGTTTTCTGGAGCTTTCCTATTGTGCCACATGCTGGGATCGCCTCCACAAATCAATATCATCAATAAATCATCGAAACCCTGGCCAGAAAACGAACATTCAATCGACTCAGTCACGGGCCTATATATATATATATATATATATATATATATATATATATATATATATATATATATATAATGGACTCTGCCGTCGGTTTGGATCTGACAGTTTAGTTGATTCAGTTATGAAATTTTGTGCTAGTGAATTACAAAAGGAGGCCACATATGGAGCAAGAGCGAGGATTGAGAGATGAGATCACTGTTAAAGTGGCTGACCTTTTAGTTGTTGCTTTCGCTTCTGTATATATATATATATATATATATATATATATATATATATACATAGTCTTAAGGTGTGCTATATTTATGGGCTAAAGTGCTCAATATCAGAGATAGAGTATCGGAGTAAATTTCTTATGTTGGTAAGACTATACATAACACATATAACAAATTTAGTTCGATAAAGTCATGAACAACGAAATGCGTCACAAGTAAACTTTTTCCACTTTTCCATTTTGTGATACAATTTACCCACTCCTTTTTTTGATACATAAAAATATATATTGTTGTCTCATATATATCTCTCTATACTCTCTCTCTCTCTCTCTCTCTGTACATGGGTTTGCGTCTCTCTCTCTCTCTCTCACTCTTTCTCTCATCAGACTCAAACAGCACTGATCTCTCTCTCTCTCTCTCTCTCTCTCTCTCTCTCTCTCTCTCTCTCTCTCTCTCGCTACGAACCTGGACATCGCAATAAAGAAAATCACATCGACATACCTACGATTCCGACCGTTCTTATTGGAAATACTTACGGTCGAACTCGTGGAGCTATGTCGATATACATACATACTTATATATATATATATATATATATATATATATATATATATATATATATATATATATATATATATATATATATCTGTGTGTGTTTTCTTCACAGTTTCTCCAAACACTGCTAACATATGGTCACAATCGACACCATTTCAGGCATTTATGTTGATGCCCGATTTTGTGTTTTCGCTCCAATGTGTCGTGTAGTGCAGGTCTAAACATTCTGGTAGCATTGGAATAACGAAAGCT